ATGTTCACAGCCACCGCAATCTGACTTGATGGGATCAGGTGATCCTTCCACCTCAGTCTTCCAAGTAGCTGGAACTACAGGCACACGCCACCATGTCCAGCTAATTTTTTGATTTATTGTAGATATGAGGTCTCACCAAGTTGCCCAGGCTGGTCTCCAACACGTGGGCTCAGGTAATCCTCTCACCTCAGCCTCCCAAAGTGCTGGGATTATAGGCATAAGCCTCTGTGCCTGGCTTGAATCAAGTTAAAATACAAGAAAAGTTTCTAACATGAAAAAAAAATCAGTTGTATATGGTTACAATAATGTTTTGGTTTGTAATTTGGGGGACAACTTAATCATATGCTGATTGATTTCAAAAGAGATTTTTTTTTTTTTTTTTTTGAGTTGGAGTCTCATTCTGTGGCTCATGCTGGAGTGCAGTGGCACTCCCATGGCCATTGCAGCCTCGATCTGCTGGGTTCGGGCAATCCTTCCAACTTAGGCTTTGACTAGCTGGAGCTACAGGCACGCGCCACCATGCCCAGGTAATTTTTTTTTTAATTGTAAAGACGATGTCTCACCAAGTTTCCCAGGCTGGTCTTGAACCCATGGGCTCAGGCAGTCCTCTCACCTCAGTCTCCCAAAGTGCTGGGACTACAGGCTTGAGCCAACATGCCCAGCCTCAAAAGAGATGTTTTAATAATAGTTTATTTAGCTGGGCTCGGTGGCTCAGCATGTAATCCCAAGCTTTTGGGAGGCTGAGGTGAGTGGACTGCCTGAGCCCGCGGGTTCGAGACCTGCCTGGGCAACTCAGTGAGACCTCATCTCTACAATAAATCAAAAAATTAGCTGGGTGTGGTAGCACTCACATGTAATTCTGGCTACTCGGAAGGCTGAGGCAGAAGGATCGCCGGAGCCCAGCAGGTCGAGGCTGTGGTGGCCGGGAGCGGTCACTGCACTCCAGTCTGGGCGACAGAGTGAGACTCCAACTCAAAAAAAAAAAAAAAATAGTTTATTTAATTCTGAACAATCTTTAAATTGAGCTCCTCCCATCTAAAAAGCTATGTTACATAAGAAAATAAAGACTTTGGTTTTACCAGCAGACTAATATTATCATGTAGAAGGGAAAAAAATACAGATAGTCGTAGTCACCTCTGAATCTTCCAATTACTTCGAAGTCTTTTCTGCATGGATTTATAGCCATTGTTGGTGGTAAATATCTCCTTCTTGTATCCATTGAAAAGAATGATGCTACGAAGCTCCTTCTCCATGGTTACCTTGTGGAAGGGATCAGAAAAACAATAAACAAAATTCCAAAAGAAAGACTCCCAAAAGGAATAAATAGTTGCCTTCCATTTTGAGTGTATCAAGAAAGAGTACACAACTGCAACCTGTGAAACCCCTACAGTTCTCAAAGGCTGAAAATAAAATACATAAAATAATCATAGCCGTAGAAATCTAAGGCCAAACCAAACCTAGCCCACCCCCAGCTTTTGCTTTCCATCTCTTCCCCTGACCCTCTTACCAGCCTACTCACATTAGCCCTGCCCTACCATCACCCTAGTCTTATGCCCTGAAACCATGATTCCAATCTGATTTCTCATTGCTAACTACTGTTAAGTGTGAAATACAGTCTTCTATTTTTCTACATATATTAACTTACAGTTTTACTTTATGAAATAGGATCTTACTATATGTACTGTTCTGCAACACACTTTTCTTTAACCTTGTTTTTTTTTTTTTGAGTCGGAGTCTCACTCTGTCGCCCAGACTGGAGTGCAGTGGCTGCTCCCAGCCACCGCAGCCTCGCCTGCTGGGCTCCGGCGATCCTTCCGCCTCAGCCTTCTGAGTAGCCGGAATTACAGGCATGTGCTACCACGCCCGGCTGATTTTTTGATTTATTGTAGAGATGAGGTCTCGCTGCCCAGGTGGGTCTCGAACCCGCGGGCTCAGGCAATCCACTCACCTCAGTCTCCCAAAGGCGCCGGATTACAGGCTAAGCCACCGAGCCCGGCTTTTCTTTAACCTTGTATATGTGACACCTTTCCATGTCAATACACTCAGATTTATAACACTCTTTTTTTGAGTTGGAGTCTCACTCTGTCGCCCAGACTGGAGTGCAGCAGCCGCTCATGGACACCGCAGCCTTGACATGCTGGACTCCGGCGATCCTTCCGCCTCAGCCTTCCAAGTAGCTGGAACTACAGGCGTGCGCTACCACGCCCGGCTGATTTTTGATTTATTGTAAAGATGAGGTCTCTCCAAGTTGCCTGGGCGGGTCTTGAACCCGCAGGCTCAGGCAATCCACTCACCTCAGCCTCCCAAAGGCGCGGGATTACAGGCTGAGCCACCGAGTCCGGCTTATAACATTCTTTTAAATAGCTGCACATTCTTCCACTTTATGGATGTACCATAATTCAACTAGTTATACACTAATTGACATCTGTCTTTTTTCAGAATTTTTCCAGTAAAACAATACTAAAAACCTGATTGTTGAACATGATGTTTTTGTGCACTCTGCATATTTGTAGAATAAATTCCTATCTGTTGAATAGCTGAGTAAATAATTTCCAAATTGCCCTCCAAGAAAATATTAAGGTATACTTCCACTAACACTGATACATTTGCTTCCACATAATCCTATCTACTTCCAATATCTGTCATCTTTGCAAATAAAATAGGCACAAAATAAAACCCATCCTCATTATTTACATCTCGAAATTTGTAAGATGGCTGTCTTTTTTTGTTGTTGTTGTTGAGTTAGAGTCTCACTTTGTCACTCAGGCTGGAGTGCAGTGGCATGCTCATGGCCACCACAGTCTCGACATGCTGGGCTCAGGTGATCCTTCTGCCTTAGCTTTCCAACTATCTGGTACTACAGGCACGTGCCACCATGCCCTGTTAATTTGTTTTGATTTATGGTAGAGATGAGGTCTTGACAAGTTGCCCAGGCTGGTCTCAAATCTGTGAGCTCAGGCAATCCTCTCATCTCGGCCTCCCAAAGTGCTGGGATTACAGGTGTGAGCCACTGCACCTGAGCTTAATGGCTGTCTTTTGCTATGTACATTGGCCATTTGTATTTCTTCTGATTTCCTTATCTATATTCTCTGTTCATTCTTCTATTGGGTTTCATACTATATTGTATTCTGCGCTCTCTAGTTTCCTAAAAGAAAAGTCAACATGATTAGGTTGGCAGTTACCATGATCTGTTGCATGGTTATGCCATAGTGAATTCATCTTTTTAACTTTTTGCCATTATAGACAGTACTGGAATTTATGTATTTCTGCTTTTGCTACCAATTATTTTTGCCAGAGGACAGACTTCTACGAAAAGGGAATTGTTTCTGTCGTCTTATGGCTCTTAAAGGAAGAGCATAATTAAAGGCACATTTCCAGTCAACATCTTATTATAGTTCAGTCCCTGGTGACAGCAACAGATCTGGGTTTCTGTATTGTCAGAATGACCCAGAATTGCTTTCCTCAAGGATAAGGGAGTACTTTAAAACTATAACAAATATTTGGGTAGCACTGTCCAATCATTCTCTCAGTTTCGATAACATTACCAGTCTTTTTCCAGATGAGTGATGGGAAGACCAGGGGTCGCAGCAATGACAGAACAGAGACTAAGACCTTAGAACTCCTTGTGCAATGCGCTTTCCTACTCAGCGGGACGACTAAAACCCTGCACCGTCCGAGGCGATAGAGACTGGTGCCAGACCGAGGGCCAGGATCCCGGCCCAGATACGCGCCCACGGTTTGCTTCACCCAGTGGACCTCGGATTTTCCCTTAGACTGGCCCGGCGGCCTCGACGAGTGTGGCGAGGCCCTCCGCAGCTCTCAGGGCGCCCCAACGCCCCAGCTAGCCTATCACAGTTGGAGCCCTTTACCTGAAGCCCAGTGACCACCATCTTCACCTGACGCCGCCCAGCATGCCGCAGCCAGGTATCCAAGGCCGCTTAACAACTGCGGAGGCGCTCAGGCGCGCTGGGAAGGCGTGACCCTGGACGTAAAGCTACTTCCGGACGACGTGATGACGACAAAACGGAAAACGCTTGTTCGCTGCGCGCGCCGGGGGTGGTGGATAGGGAGCGAGTGTATGGAGGACGGTACCATGACTTTGGAGGAGTAGTAAACCCAAATACAATGAGAACTGACTTCTCACCAAAAATAAGCCTTTTGCACTTTAATATCAATTATGATTACAGGCTGATTCAAATGGTACGGCCCAAGGGCCTAAACTTCGCCCCACCCCGAGGGAGGAGAATAGCGAAGGCTTCCGGTGCGGGGGAAGGCGCCGGCCTCCGAGCCCAGGCGCAGGCGCAAACGCAGAGCGGCGGGGTTGGCGGGCGGAGGCTGGGGTCCGGCTACGGGGAGCTATTGAGTCAGGGGCTACGAGAAACGCCTGTCTGTAGGTGCAAAGCGCGATGCTAGAGGATTGGAAGCGCCGGGGAGACTTCTCGGAAGAGGGTGAGCAGGTTTAGTGGTGAGAATGGTAACACGATGATAGCTCCTTTGTAACCTCACGTCTTTTAGCGCCACAGCGCCAGGCCTGAGCGCCAGGGAAGAATGGCCGTGAACCCGCCACTCTGTAGGTGTCCTCAGGCGGGGAGTTAGACATGACCAGATCCTACAACAATCTACAAATGTCACCTTGGAATTTGAGAGGCCCAGGCTGGTCCAAAAGGCGCCTCCGTTGAGCAGAGAACCGAAAAGAAGAGTGGTATTCAATAAGGCAGGGGCCAGGGAAGGGCGTTCCGGGCAGAAGAGCCATTCCATACGGGATGCCCTGCCATCGCCAAGAAAATGGGAAACCGGCGCCTGCAACCACAAACAGGCCACCCTGTTCCCCAGGGGAGTACTCGCTGCCTGCCCTGAGAGGGGCGTGGGTTTGTGAACAGGGCTTCAGCAGCCTCGAGGGCTCAAACTGATGAGTGCACAGACATCTGATAGTTTTGATCTACGTTTATGTTGTCTTCAACGCCTACTGAGGAGGAGTTTAGGATATTTAAACACCCAATTCGTGTTGTCTTTTCACAACTACTGTCGCTGCAAACTTAACAAGTGGAGAAGAGCGTGATTGAGAATTCTCTTTTTGGGATGCTGTATTTTGGTGCAAAATTGAGTGAATACAGTCTGCGGATAGAGTAATAATGGAAATGAAATATTCCTACTGGAGAGAGGGGACCATCCCACTGAAGAGGTTGGGGCAGGTCTTGGGATCCTTCTGCCTGTTGTGTAGTCAGTGTTTGCTACCGCATCTGCCCAGAGCACCTCAGTGTTGGAGGTTGTAAAAAAAAAAAAAGAAAAGGGTTTTAGAATTATCTGCCACCAAGTTCGATTTCAAGTTCAATTGGGCAAGTTGCTCAATCTCTCTGAGCAAATGTACCCTATCTGCAAAGTGAAGTTAATAATTTCTAAAATACTGGCTTATATTCAGGAATGTAGATAATGCATATAAAACTTGGAAAGTACTCAATAAACATAGGTGTAGCATTAGCAATTCAATAACACAGTTTTTCTTCGTTTTTATTTTTTATCCTGGTGGGGGAAAATTGTGATTTTACAATCTTAGAACAGGTATAACCATTCTGTGTTTCACAACCCAGAGCTGATTGTGTACTTTTGACAGTACTATCATGTGTCTGACAATTAGGCTCTTGTTTTTTGCTTTGGGAAGTTGGGGAGATTGATTTTGATCTCTACCTTTTCCCACATTGTCAATTAATAGGTGCTACTCAGATGGAAATCAGAGTATTTCAGAGTTCTCAGCACATGTCAAAGCTTAATATTAGGTCTTCCTCACCTGCTTTGATCTCTTATAGGTCAGTGCCATTGGCGTTTTATCCGTGGTCTCCCAGATTTGTCCCCCATAATTCCTGGGGCAGAGGGCTGGGTGGACACAAATTGAAGGGAAAGAGTGGGACTGAGTTAGGAGGAAAAGACAATAAAATCACAAGCCTGCACTGATCCTAAGAAAGTTCGATGTAAGAAAGACTTGCTCCCCTTTCCTATCAGAGAAAAGTTTTGGAGAGGAAAAGTGGGACAAAAAAGCACAGTTTTCATTTGTATTGTGAAATGCAAAAATTGTCAACTCTTTAAAAAAAAGGCTGGGCACGGTGGCTCAAGCCTATAATCCCGCACTTTGGGAGGCCGAAGTGAGAGGATTGCTTGAGCTCAGGGTTCGAGACCAGCCTGGGCAACTTGGCAAGCCCTCATCTCTACAATAAATAAAAAATTAGCTGGGCGTGGTAGCGAGTGCCTGTAGTTCTAGCTATTTTGAAGGCTGAGGCAGAAGCTGGGGCCCAGCAGGTCGAGGCTGCAGTGCCCGTGAATGTGCCACTGCACTCCAGGCTGGGTGACAGAGTGAGACTCTGACTCAAAAAAAAAAAAAAATAGTTCCTTCCCTGTTCCCAAACCAAAAAGGTAATAGGGCTGCCCTGAAGTATGAATCATGGGCTTGTGAAAAAGAAGCCACTTTTCCACTGAAGTAAGGAAGTATGTCCCACCTCACAAGTGCAGGGTGTCCTGAATTCATGAAGTGTTATATGCTCACATTCTGAATTTAGATTACCTATAATAATGACTCAGCCGGGCTCGGTGGCTCAGCCTGTAATCCCAGCGCTTTGGGAGGCTGAGGTGAGTGGATTGCCTGAGCCCGTGGGTTCGAGACCCGCCTGGGTAACTTGGCGAGACCTCATCTCTACAATAAATCAAAAAAATTAGCCGGGCATGGTAGTGCACGCCTGTAGTTCCAGCTACTTGGAAGGCTGAGGTGGAAGGATCGCCGGAGCCCAGCAGCTCGAGGCTGCGATGGCCGGGAGCGGTCACTGCACTCCAGTCTGGATGGCAGAGTGAGACTCCAACTCAAAAAAAAAAGAAATGACTCATTTTAAACATATGGAGTTCCACAGGTGGCCAAGAAGCTCTAATTACCAAGCCTACAGCAGCCTCCAGCTCTGTCCAGTCCGCAGCTCCCCATGTGAGGTGGAGCACAGCATGTACTTGGTAGCCAGGCTCAGACCATGAGTGGCATCCAGTTGAATGTCTCTTATTCAATACCCCATTTCTTACACTTGGCTACTTCTAGCCAGTTTTTGACTTAGCTCCTCATTTGCGATTTTGGCAGTCTTTTGGCTTAGACCTAACAGCCAGAGTGAGGAGCAGACCAGCACACAAGTTAAATGTGAAAGCCCCGGAGCCAGTTTATTTGACTCCAAGTCCCAACTTGGGACTTTGTCAACTATGTCACCTTTAGGCACAGAACAACTTGTCTGACTGTTTCTTCATTGGTAAGAAGGGGGTAGTAATAATTACTAAGTGTTGTTAGGATGAAAAATTGGTAACAGACGTGAAAGAGCCTAGCACAGAAACTGGTCCATCATAGGCAGGCGATCTGGTGCTGGCTTTGGCAAATTAAGCAAAAGAGGAGTGTGTTAGAAAGGATCAGAAACTCTCAAAATCACTGGGAAAGCTAGAGTAAGACTTGAGGCTTCTGGGAATAACACTGCAGCACTGGAAACTGCTGTTGCTGCTGCTAAGGACTAGTTTTGCATTATTGCCACGTCTACACTAGGAACCCACCAGTTTTGTGGGTACCGCAATTGTGGGTAACCATAGTTACCGTATAACAGAAAACCTCCCATCCCTTCATTGAGTCAAAAGTCTGACGCAGGTGCATCCCTGGGCTACCTGTCTGGCCCTAGCTAAGGGAGGCTAGGAAGTCAGTATCTGGCATTTCCAGCTACTCTAAGTCAGAGGTAGTTATTGCCCCTCTGGAAGGCTCATGAAGTGGAGGATTCCCTGAATATAGGAAGGGGCTCAGATATAAGGCAGCCAAACCCAATAACAAATGTCCAGTACTACCTACAACAAAGAAAGACCAATAACAGAACAATAAGAGATGTTGGGTAATACCGTATAAGCTCATTCCATCTTTGTGATTAGATCAAAATCCAAATACCAAGAGACCCTCTGGTAAAGAGTGCTGACTGCGTACCCAGCATTCTTCCATCTCCCTTCGTGTCAGAACCCCTTTGTAATTAGGGGTAGTCATGTGCCCAGTAAATGACAGCCACATGTCCTAGCCTCTGTTCCAGGTAGGGGTGGGTGGTTAGTGAGATGTATACAGAAGTCATTGGGTGGCGCTTTTGGGAAAGCTCCTTAAATACACCCTTTTACTTGTTCCCCCTTTTCTCCTTCCCTGCCCAGAACACAAATGTAGCCAGAGCTCCAGTACCCATCCTGTGAAAATGTAGCAACCCTGATATTGGAAGCCATTTGCCATGGATGGCAGAGCAGACATACAGAAAGCCTCTAAGGGTCTGATGCTCTGTTGTACCAGACCTGGACCACCTAACACTATTCCTGTATGTGATGGAAAAAAACAAACCTGTTTCTCATTTAAGCCACTGTTTCTTTGAGTCTGTTCCTAGCACCTGAAAGTAACTCCTTCCTAATACCAGCTGGCCTCAGTAGTGTCAGAGGTGCTTCTCTTCTAGCAGTCCAAGAGGTCATCATCTTCCGGTGCATAAGAAAATCCCAGGAATGCGCTCGAGGCCCCAGAACTGCTGGCCATAGTGTCAGGGGTGCAGCCAATCGACTTGGACACAACTTCCTGGGTGAACTCCGGGTCAAAGTGTTTCAAGTCAGCAGGTCCTGTCTGTCAGTAAAAGCCAATGATTAGCCGGGCTTGGTGGCTCAGCCTGTAATCCCGTGCCTTTGGGAGGCTGAGGTAAGTGGATTGCCTGAGCCCGCAGGTTCGAGACCCGCCTGCGCAGCGAGACCTCATCTCTACAATAAATCAAAAAATCAGCCAGGCGTGGTAGCGCATGCCTGTAATTCTGGATACTCGGCAGGCTGAGGCGGAAGGATCGCCGGAGGCCAGCAGGTCGAGGCAGCGGTGGCCGGGAGCGGCCACTGCACTCCAGTCTGGGCAACAGAGTGAGATTCCAACTCAAAAAAAAAGCCAATGATTAGGTGGGAACATGGGTCAGAGCTGCCAAAGAGCCCAGAGCCTCAGAGGGGGATGTCAGGCCTCTCCTTTGAGTGCCTCATGGTCATTCACACTTGAATGTCACTTTCCCACTTATTTACATTAATCATTTTAGTCCATGTAGTTGACTTCTCTAACCCCCGGACCCTGCCTGCTCCACACCAATCCTTAGACAAGTCAGTTAGTCTACACGTATTGAATGCCTACCAGGCACAGTTCATGGCACCGGGAATACAGGAGAATGAAACAGTGGGCCCCTGCTTTCATGAAACTTACATAGTGAATAGGAGGATTGATAACAAGCATGAATACTAATCGGTAATTTAGGGTGTCGATGGGTCCTATGAAGAAAGTAAAACAGGTACGGTGGCTCATGCCTGTAATCCCAGCACTTTGGGAGGTGGAGGCGAGAGAATTGCTTGAGTCCAGGAGTTTGAGACCAGCCTGGGCAACCTGGCGAGACCTCATCTCTACAATAAAACAAAAAATCAGCTGGGCATAGTGGTACATGCCTGTTGTTCCAGCTACTTGGAAGGCTGAGGCAGAAAGATCGCCTGAGCCTAGCAGGTCAAGGCTGCGGTAGATAGCTAAGAGCGTGCTACTGTACTCCACCTGTGCAACAGCGTGGGATTCAAAAAAAGAAAAAGGCAAAATAGGGTAACATGGTAGACAGTGACTGGGGCTGCTTTAGCTACCTTGGAGGAAGACCTGTGTGGGAGACTACAAAAATGATCACAAATTCTCCATTTCCCATCCAGGATACGGGTTAGTCATGTGATTTGCTTAGGCCAACAGGACATTACCAAATGTGACACAAGCAGAGACTTGGAAAATACACACTGGGAGTTGCTCTCTCTTGGTGTAGTTGGAACTCGGAGGCCACCAGGTGAACAAGCCCAGATCAGCCTGCTGGAGGATGAGAGGTCTCATGAGGGAGAACTCAGTTGTCCTGGCTGCCTGCCAACTCTTAGACATGTGAGTGAGGCAGTTCTAGGTCAACAGCTACTGCTGTCCCACGAGCTGGCTACGGACGTGAGAGACCAGCTGCTCAAACAAAAACTATGAGCCTCATAGATTCTGAACAAAATAAAATATTGTTGCTTTAAGTCTAAGCCACCTATTTTAGGGGCAGCCTATTATGCAGTACGAGCTAGTCAATACAGTCTCTTGGTGGAGGAGACAAAGTCTGTAGAGGTGATGCCACTTGGTCTTTATGAAGTTAACAGGTGAGCAAGTGGAAGGGTCTGCAAATCCCCTTTAGGATGCAAGTCTTGGGCTGTGGAAACAAAAGCACCTTGGTTTCCAGTTCTTAAAAAGGCCACAAGGCACAGTGGGCCCAGCCCAGGGCTCAGAGTCCTAAGACCAGAATGTGAATCCTAGTCCTTATTAGTTGTGTAACCCTCACCAAGGCAGGCATCTTCTGTTTTTTACAAATGAAGAAAATGAGCCAGGGAGCGGTGGCTCACACCTGTAATTCCAACACTTTGGGAGGTGGAGATGACAGGATTACCTGAGCTCAAGGGTTTGAGACTAACCTGAGCAACACGGCGAGACCGTGTCCCTACAATCAATCAATCAATCAATCAATCAATCAGCCGAGCATGGTGGTGCATGCTTGTGGTTCCAGCTACTTGGAAGGCTGATGTGGAAGTATCGCCTGATAACTGGGCTCGGTGGCTCAGCTGTAATCCCACACCTTTGGGAGGCTGAGGTGAGTGGATTGCCTGAGCCTGTAGGTTCGGGACCCGCCTGGGCAACTTGGTGAGACCTCATCTCCACAATAAATCAAAAATTAGCCGGACGTGGTAGCGCGCGCCTGTAGTTCTAGCTACTTGGAAGGCTGAGGTGGATGGATCACCGGAACCCAGCAGGTCGAGGCTGCGGTGGCCGGGAGCGGCCACTGCACTCTGTCTGGGTGACAGAGTGAGACTCCAACTCAAAAAAATAAAAAATAAAAAGGAAGTATCGCCTGAGCCCAGTGGGCCGAGACTACAGTGGCTATGAGCATGCCACTGCACTCCAGCCTGGGCGACAGAGTGAGACTCTGACTCAAAAACAAAACCAAAAAAAAAAAAAACAGAAAAGAGACTGGGGTTGGGTACAGTGGTTCATGCCTGTAATCTTAGTGCTTTGGGAGGCCAAGGTGGGAGTATCTCTTGAGCCCAGGAGTTCAAGACCAGATTGGGCAAAATAGTGAGGCCTGTTCTCTACAAAAAAAAAAATTAGCCAAGCATGGTGGTGTGCAAGTCCCTGCAAGTCCCAGCTACTTAGGAGGCTGAGGCAGGAGGACTGCTTGAGCCTAGGAGGTTGAGGCTACAGTTAGCTATGATTATGCAACTGCACTCCAGTCCAGTCTGGGTGACAGAGCAAGATCATCTCTTTTATATTTTATATATATATATTTATATAAATGAAGAAAATATGCCAGGGTTTTCCCTTGGGTAGTGAGATAATAAGCATTTCCCTGCTGCTGCTGCTTTAAACTTCGGTGCTTTATACACTTTCTACAAGGAATACATGTCACTTTTATTATCAGGAAAAAGTCTAAAAATAGAAAAGATAAAATATCTGTAAAGGGCTTGGCTTTGGCTGAGTGCGCTGAGTGACACACAGCACTTCACAGCCTATAAAGTGCCCTGCACTGGGAGTGATTGGTGCTGAAGATACGGAAGAAGCAGTGTGGCCCATCGCCCAGAAGCTGAGTTAGCAGTCAGATTTTGTAGATAGGAGGCCAGTTCTGCCTCTAACTTACTGCATGGATAAATCAGTGAGCCTCCTGGACACCCTATTTTCCCACTGTATAAGAAGACTTGGCTCACACACACACAGCTCCTGGCAGCCCTGAACATCCAGAATCTAGAATGCTGTGACCTCTTACCACGTTTGGGTTGAAGGGTGGAATTAGCCTCTTATGATACAAGTCATCCCAGTTTATGGGGCTGAAGAATACATGGTTCTTAATCTCAAGCTGCAGGAAGAAGGTGCTGGTTAGAAGACGCCCACTGATAGGTGCTCTCACCCCTCCCCACCCCCGTCCTCCAGAGCCCTACTCTACCAGCAACTGGTCGTGAACTGCAAAGTAAGGCTGTCAACTAGAAAGTCACTTGCAGTTCTGGCTGGTTTCCTGATGATGATGAGAGGGTGTTCTGCAGCCAGGCTTCTCCCATCATCCAGAACCCCAGCCCTCCTCCCCCATAGCATCTGGTTAGTCCACAGCTATTTACTGTGCACCAACTCTGAGCACCCATGCTGGGCATTGGAAGGTGTGTCAGTGAACAAGATGGCAGCATCTGCTCTGGGATAGGAGAGCAGTACATCTTGCCTCAGTACACCCTGAGTCTTCCAGAATGCAAACCAGAGAAATAGACTAAATCAACCCACAGAGGAAGTTTGAGAAATAAAGCCCCTGAGAAAACCTGCAGATTCCCAGAGATCCAGAATTTAGGGCTGAACAGTTCTTTCCTGATCAAACTCAATGTTGGCACCAACTTCTTTCCCTCACCACAGGAATGGATCTTTCTGTGTTTCTCACAGGATGATTCTCCCTGTACCAGAACTCCTCAGTGGGCTGGTTAAAAAACCAGATCTAAAATATCTCTAGAAGGACTGAGCATGGTGGCTCATGCCTGTTATCCCAGCACTTTGAGAGGCTGAGGCGAGAGGATCTCAAAGAGCCCCGGAGTTCAAGACCAGCCTGGGCAACATAGTGAGGCCTCATATCTACAAAAAAATGAAAGAAAAAAAATTAACTGGGTGGAGCGGTATGCACTGTAGTCTCAGCTACTTGGGAGGCTGAGATAGGAAGATCACTTGAGATCAGGAGGTCGAGGTTGCAGTGAGCTGGGATTGCACCACTGCACTCCAGCCTGGACAACAGAGTGAGATCCTGTCTCAAGAAAAAAATAATTTTAAAAAGTAGATGTTCAGAAGGATACCCAAGAAACTGGTAACACTGGTTGCCTCTGAAATGAGAAACTGGATGCCTAGAGGGACTTTTCCTGGATACCTCTTTGTACCCTTTGAATTTTGATCTATGGGAATGTATAACTTAAAATCATACATGTTTCTTAAGATGCAAACTGAGGCTGGGCTCAGTGACTCAGTCTGTAATGCCAGCACTTTGGGAAGCCGAGGCAAGTGAATTACCTGAGCCCATGGGTTTGAGATCAGCCCGGTAACTTGGTAAGACCTTGTCTCTACAATAAATAAAAAATTAGCTGGGCATGGTAGTGCATGCCTGCAGTTCTGGCTACTTGGAAGGCTGAGGCGGAAGCATCGCCAGAACCTAGTAAGTCAAGAGGATTGCCTGAGCTCAGACGTTCGAGACCAGCCTGAGCAACATGGTAAAACCTTGTCTCTACAATTAAAAAAAAAAAAATCAGCTGGGTATGGTGGTGCATGCCTCTGGTTCCAGCTACCTGAAAGACTGTGGCAGAAGGATCACCTGAACCCAGCAGGTTGAGGCTGTGGTGGCTGTGAGCGTGCCACTGCACTCTAGCCTGGGTGACAGAAAGACTCCAACTCCAAAAAAATAAAATAAAATAAAAGATGCAAACTGGAAATTTGCACAGGTGCTTCATGGAAGCTCCTGTTCTTTAAGCTGGGAAGGGATAGACAGGCAAATACCCTGAATGCTGTTATGCTGTTATACTTTACACTGTCTGGTATGTAGGGCTTTTGGTACAAATGCTTAAAAAGCACTTACTAGATGCCAGGCACTGGTCTAAGGGCTTTGCATGTATTAATTCATTTGATCTTCACAATAGTTATGTTAGGTGCTATTACAGATGGGGAATCTGAGGCTCACAGAGAGAAATTAAGCAATATGCCGAAGGTCCTGCAGCTAGTAAGTGAAGAGGGATCTGAACCCAGGTAGCTTGCCTCACAGTTTATTTATCTTAGCCGCTGTGCTAGAAAAGGAAAAAACGTCTACGGAGAAAAGTCCTGTGCCCATAAATCCAGACTATCTTGTGTTGAGTAAAGACTATAAGATTATATTCATTTATTTATTTTTTAGAGACATGGTCTTGCTCTGTTGTCTAGGCTACAATGCAGTGGCACGATCATAGCTCACTGTAGCCTAGAACTCTTGGCCTTAAGTGATCCTCCCACCTCAACCTCCTGAGTAGCTGGGACTACAGGTGTGCACCACCACATCCGGCTAATTTTTTTTTTGAGTTGGAGTTTTTTCTGTCACCCAGACTGAAATGCAGTGGTTTGATCATGGCTCACTGCAACCCCAACCTCCTGGGCTCAAGTGATCCTTCTGCCTCAGCCTCCTGAGTAGCTGGAACTATAGGCGCTTGCCACCACACCTGGCTAATTTGGGGATTTTTTTTTTGTAGACCTGAAGTCTTGCTGTGTTGCCCTGGCTGGTCTCCAACTCCTGGGCTCAGGTGATCCTCCTGCTTTGTGCCTCCCAAAGTACTGGAATTATAGGTGTGAGCCATCGTGCCCAGCCTAATTTTTAAATTGTCTGTAGAGATGGGGTATTGCTATGTTGCCCAGGCTGAGAATGTAAGATTATTTTTATTTATTTTTTATTTTTATTTTTTGAGTTGGAGTCTCACTCTATCGCCCAGACTGGAGTGCAGTGGCCACTCCTGGCCACCGCAACCTCGACCTGCTGGGCTCCTGTGATCCTTCCGCCTCAGCCTTCCAGTAGCTGGAACAACAGGTGCGTGCTACCACGCCCGGCTGATTTTTGATTTATTGTAGAGATGAGGTCTCGCCAAGTTGCCCAGGCGGGTCTCAAACCCTCAGGCTCAGACAATCCACTCACCTCAGCCCCCCAAAGGCGTGGGATTACAGGCTGAGCCACCAAGCCCAGCTAAAGTGTTACCTTAATAAAAAGGTTAAAGGAATGTCTATAGAACCATTTATTTCTATATCCCAAGTGGCCAGCCTGGGGTCTGGCAAGGAAGTGCTCAGATACTTATAAAAAGCAACTCTAGTCCACTCTCTGCACAGAAGCCAGAGGAATCTTCTAAAAACTCAAATTGGGTCATGTCACTCCCCTGCTCAAAATGCCCTAAAGCTTACCACTGTCCTCCTCGTTCCCACCGCAGGACTTTTGCACATGCTGTGCCCTGTGTCTGTGGTGCCTTCGCCCAGCTCCCTGCATGACTGGCCTCTTCTTGTCCTTAAAGTCTCAGCTTACTTGTAACCCCTTCAGAGAGGACCTGCCTGACCATGCCAGTGAGAATTTGCTCTCCCCCTATTATGTCTATCTCAGCTCATTGTTCATTTCCTTCCTGACACATGTCATACTTTGTGATAATTGCATATAATGTTTGTTTTTGTTGCTCCACCTCTACCTACAAACTTAATAAGGGTAGAGACCCAGGCTGTTGGTCCCCTAGCACCCAGATCAATACATGGCACATGGTAGGTGCTCAGTAAATATTGGCTGACTAAGAGAACTAGACTAAAGAGAGCAGTTAGCTAGAAGCAGCAATGGATTTCCAAGTGAATGAGTTAGCAGCGCCTGGTTTGAGAGGCAGCAGGATGCATGTTAATATTCTCCTGAGCAGCCTCTGCAAGAAGCCAAGAGTCCCCAGGGGACAGCGCTCTGCTGGCAGGTCACTTACAAAGTCTGTTTTGGAGCCTAGTCGCTGCCTCTGGTCCTTGTGGAGAAGGCCTTGCAGAAGGTCGCAGGCAGCCACTGTCCGGCCCCCAGGGATCTGAAGCGGCTGATGCAGAATGTTCTCATACATCTGGGACACATCTTGGCAGTAGAAGGGTGGCTGGGGAGAGAGGGAGAACAGCTGGAGGATCACTGACGTGAAAGTAGGGGCAGCCCTTTCCAATCTGTGCAAGGTGAATAATAAACTTTACTTCTTTCTACTTTCCTAAAAAAAAAAGTGGGGGCAGTCTTGAGGAGGCTTAGATTAAGCCGGGCAGCTGGGAGGATTCAGCCAGATCCATGTGGAGTGCAGCGGCTCTGGTGGCAGACTGGAGGAAGCCAGGCTTCCAGCACAGTGAGAGCATTGCTGGGAAGGCCCAGAATCTCTCCCCACCAGTGTAAGGCCCATCTCTCCTAATCCAGCTGGAGCACCCACTTCCCCCTTAGCAGAGTTTACGCGTTCCCCTTTGTCCTTGCAGTCTCACACCCATCCTCCAGAAGAGGTTGTCATTTGTCAGATGAGAAGACAAGGCTCAGAGCAATTATGTCACTCAGCTAGGACAAGAGCCAGGCCCCAAACCATATCCAGGGTCCGCTCCTCTTTCTTGCTCCTTTCCTTCCTACTTCTCTACCAGTGATTCCTTCTCCTGACTCCACAGAGCCTGCTCCCTCATCTGCACCCAGCTATGTTGGTGACACCGCCCTAGAGCACAGCATGGCATGGGGTGGGTCCACACATGCCTCTACCTAAGTAGGCAGCCTAGAATTGGGTTCAGGGGTTGGTTCCACAATCTACCAGGACTGTGACCTCTCTTGGACTCAGTATTCCTCTCAGTTAAATGAGAATAACTCCATTTCCTTCAATGTCAGCTTTCAAAGGCTATTTTGAGATACCCAAGGTGATACGGTGTTGTCAACTGTAAAGTGCTAAACTAACATTATTGAAAAAAAATACATAATCTTCATCTTCACATTGGCATCACCTTTTCTTTTCTTTTCTTTTTTTTTGAGTTGGAGTCTCACTCTGTTGCCCAGGCTGGAGTGCAGTGGCACGCTCACGGTCACTGCAGCCTCCACCTGCTGGGCTCAGGTGATCCCTCCACCTCAGCCTTCCAAGTAGCTGGAACTACAGGCATGTGCCACCATACCCAGCTAATTTTTGATTGATTGTAGAGATGAGGTCTCGCCAAGTTGCCTGGGCTGATTTTGAACTCGTGGGCTCAGGCAATCCTCTCACCTCAGCCTCCCAAAGTGCTGGGATTATAGGCGTGAGCCATCACCCCCAGCTTTTTTATTTGAGTTGCAGTCTCACTCTGTCGTCCAGGCTAGAGTATAGTGGCACTCTTATGCCCATCACAGCCTCAACCTGCTAGGCTCAGGCAATCCTTCTGCCACAGCCTTCCAACTATCTGGAACCACAGGTGTGTGCCACTACGCCCAGCAATTTTTTTATTTTTATTTTTACTGTAGAGACGAGGTCTTGCCACGTTGCCCAGGCTGGTCTCGAAGCCCTGAGTTCAGGCAATCCTCTTGCCTCTGCCTCCCAAAGTGCTGGGATTACAGGCATGAGCCACTGCGCCTGGTGGCATTAGCTTTTCTAGTCTGGAATTAAGAGATGGCTTGTTCAGTTCCCTGAGCAAAGCTTGTGCAGATCACAGGAGGAGGAGACCCACCTTGGCTCTCGGGGCCAGATCTCCCTTGCAGATAGCCACACCCCACTCACCAGGCCATGTAACATCTCATAGAGAACGGCCCCCAAGCACCACCAGTCCACTGCATGGTCATATGGCTCTTTCCGGAGCACTTCAGGAGCCAAGTACTGTTAGAAGGAAACATGCTGATTTGAAATAAGTTGCTCAGCCTCAGTTGCCCTATCTGTAAACAAGGCACTTGGAGGAAGGTTCCCAAAGCTTGATGGTGCTGTAACATTCCCATGGCTGTGCACGTGTTCATTCAGCATCCATTCACCAAAGGTCTCCTTGTGCAAGGCCCTTTTCCATATGTTTTGGACACAGAAGAGATCAGGTGGGACTGCCCTGTACAATTGTATATGTTGTGAACCACACAAAAGTACCAGCCAAAGAGTGGCCCTTGCTGTTCAGAGGTATGTCTGGCAAGTCTATTTTTGCTTAAAGGGTGTTTTTCCTAATTAGTCTGCCCAGAGGAGGTGCCTTTTTCCAACTGCACAATGGTGTTCAAGGGGCTGTTGGTGTCCTGGGAATAGGAAAGCCCTGGGTGTACTCTCACAGTGCAGTGAGGAGACTAACGGAGAAAGCAAAAGTAAATGCAGCACACACTTGAACTGGTACTTGTACTAGGAACTTTAGGGACAGAGGAGATGGTCAGGAAAGAGAGATGACCCTGACTCTTATTGACAGGTTAGATACACGCCCTGCGTCTATACCTTACCATGAGGACAGAACCTTGGCAGAGCTTTGCTTTCTAAGAGCTTGATGACCTCTTAGCCTGGTGTTTCTGCCATTGAGGAGGGGGGTTCTCAGCAACAGGCAAAGCCACCCTGAGAGACTACGTGGGTCAGGGAAGGGCAACGTCACACATATCTGCGCCCTAGGTGGTGGGTGGTCTAAGACAGGTCATCATAGCAAGGCTGAGTCATGGAAAAGGTGAGGTGTGGGGGCCACATGTCTCCTACATGAGCCAGGGTTCCCTAGCCTCTGCTCTCCATCCCTAGCAGGGTTCAAAAAAGAAATGTCCGAGCTGTCAGGCTTTGAGGGGCCAGCTTTGTCCAGTGAACACCCCTTCATACACAAACATAGACAACGGTTTCTGCTCAGAGAAGCCATCTGTTCATCAGCGATTCTAGAACCAAGTTGAGGAGGCCCATCAGATCTGAGACTCAGCTTTTCAAGCACATGGAGAAAAAGAGCAGCTGAGGTCCTGCCCCGTGGCAGGTGGAGAGGAGCTTTCCAGTCTGCAGCCTCATCCCTCCAGCCCCCACCTTGATGTCTGGCCAAGCCACTTGGGGACCCCTTCAGGTCCAAGGTCCAACGTCCAAGAATAGTGGGGGTTCAAGGAAAGGTTTTAACTCCAGGGCGGCCTTGTCAGGACAGACGGATAGTGAATGACTGCTGAGACCTGCAAATTTTAACCCTTCAGGCTAGTGGTGGCTGAGAGAGGGAGGTGGACCTATGGTTGACACTTGCCAGCTCTGCTACTAACTCTCAGGCCAGGCAGTTCCTGCTGTGCATGAACTTCACCTAGTAGGGCAGTGTTGTCCAATGCAACAGCTGCTTGTTACACTGTAGAACACAACATGTGGCTGGTCCAAATTGAGATGGACTGTAAGTGTAAAATTCATACCAGATTTCAAAGACTTGAAAAAAGGAATAAACTATTTCAACAATTCTTATATTGATTGTAGGTTGAAATGATAACATTTTGGATATATTGAATTAAATAAAATATATCATTAAATTAATTTCACCGGTTACTTTTTTAATGTGGCTGCTAGAAAAGTTTCACTGTGTATGTGGCTTGCCTTCTATTTCTACTTCTATAGACCTGAGTGCAGTGAAGCTTCACCAGCAGCTGGCTGCCCAGGTCTCAGAAGCCCTAGAGTTGGGCCTCTATTACACGGATGACAAAAACAAGGCTCAGTGCACAGCCAGCTCAGGGGAAGCTCTTGGGTTCAAGGAATGAGTCCTCTCAGTTGTCACCTGCTGGCTCTAACCAGGAGGTATGGCCTCAACCACTTGTGACCTTCCCTCTCCTAGGATGCTTACGCTTACCTCTGGGGTGCCACAGAACGTGGACGTGGTCTCTTTGGGCTCTACACCTTCCTTGCAGAGGCCAAAATCTGTCAGCACCACATGTCCCTGAGGAAGAGAGAGAGCAGGAGCAGGAGGGTGGGCTAAGTCAAACATGTGACCAGGCCCAACCCGGAAGACCAATTGCCACACACCAGGGCAGTGGCTGTGGATCTGATGCCCAGACACAGCCTGGGGGTTCCACTCAGACCCAAGGCTCCGGGACTGGATGCCAGGAGCACCATGAGAGGCAAGATGGGGACAGGGCATTCCACTGTTTGCCTCCAGCTCATAGCAGACTTGGCCTCCCTTCTACAACAGGAGCAGGCCTTGCTAGACAGCAACCCCTTGACAGAGGGCCAGAACTCAGAAAGTGTCACACCTTGTGACAGCTGGGTGGGAAGGTGGAGTGAGTGAAAGTTGTGGGGCTCTGCCCAGATCCCCAGTTCTGAAGCTGCCATGCCCATCCTCCCCCTGCCAGGACATCATCCTCACCCAAAGTTATACTTCTCCCTAAGAACAATCCACATCGGGGACACAAAGGCCTGCCTCTTTGCCTCTATTTGGGACAGTTGTAAAGAGCCGTCCCGGCTCCGGCTCTCCCCACCCCTGTAAAATGAGCCGAGGCCTTTCCTGTGACCACGAGCAGGCGAGCTTCCTCCTCTGCTTGATCTTATTTTCTTCACCCTCTTTTTTCTTTTTTTGAGTTGGAGTCTCACTCCATCGCCCAGACTGGAGTGCAGTGGCCGCTCCTGGCCACCGCAGCCTTGACCTGCTGGGCGCCAGTGATTCTGCCGCCTCAGCCTTCCGAGTAGCTGGAACCACAGGCATGCGCTACCATGCCTGGTTAATTTTTTGATTTATTGTAGAGATGAGGTCTCACCAAATTGCCCAGGCGGGTCTCGAACCCGCGGGCTCAGGCAATCCATTCACCTCAGACTCCCAAGACACGGGATTACAGGCTGAGGCACCGAGCCTGGCTCTGCACCCCCTTAATGATGTTATCTCTTGAGAGTATTCCCAAAGAAACCTTCTGCACTCACCTCTCCGTCTCAGAGTCTGTTTCCAGGGAATCCAGTCTAAGGCGAAATCCACTAGCTTCCACCTGGCTCTGCCCTGCCCCACACAGACCTTGTACACATAGTCTTGTGTGTGCACAATGCACATATACAGGCATGTACACATGCATGGGTACACATGCACACACACAGTTGAATGCATCCCTCTACTACATGTTTGCATGTGCAATGTATGCACAGTCATGTGCACTGACTCATGGTCAGATAGCACATGTGTGCAGCCATGTTCATACACACACCAACCTGGCAGTCCAAGAGAATGTTCTCTGGTTTCAGGTCCCTGCAGGAAATAAGAGAAGAGAGCCCTGTGGAGTTGCAGTCATTTGGTGAAAACAGTTGGAGACCTGGGGTCCTGGCAGGAGGACTATTTTTTTTTTTTTTTTGAGTTGGAGTCTCACTCAGTCGCCCAGACTGGAGTGCAGTG